TCCGAGAGTTTCCATCTTCCCATCATGCCCATGCACAACCAGAGCCCAACCCTGCTGGGCTGGCACACAGCCTTCGCCCCTTCTGTCCCATTGTGACCAAATGTCTTTAAAGGCACCCAGCCCAACACCTGATCTTCACAGCATCAACAGTTCCTTTGTCACCAAATATATGATGCTAATTGGAATCCCCATCCCTGAGTTACAGAGATCAACTTCTCTACAGTTGGTTGACTGCTGAGAAAAACAAAAGGCCACGGAGGTCGTGTAATTTCTTTTCACTCCCCTGCCCCCCTCCACTTGTCAGCTGCAGATGCCCGGGAGGTCAGTGCTGAGAGGAGGGTTGTGACCCCCGTGGCCTCTGCACCTCCGGCCAGTTGGTGTCAATCAGCAGTACTGTACTGCCTGAGGGAATCCACTCCATCCAGTCCTGAGAGCTGGGAGCACAGAGCAGACAAGGAGCACGGCAGGCGCGTCAGAAGGCAGAGGGCTGAGACATGGGCTCAGAAGAACAAGCTGCCTGGCATGGCATGTGGGTCGTGTCTGGTGGGCAATGGGCTTGCTGGCACCCAAGCAATGCCAGCAGCGACCCTACCCCCAGAAAAGAGAGTCATGCTTTCTGGGGAGCGGATGGCTGAAGAGGATGAGGAGACTGGTGGACAGGTCTTTGGGGGAGGACTGCATATGCTGCTGATGGGAAGACCGCGATCTCATGGCTGCTGCAGGTACCAAATGCTGGGAGCCAGCTGGCCAGGGGCTGTAGGTCAGTTCCCAAGAACTGAAGGCACGGATGCTGGTGCCTACCACCCGTGGCTCTTGCTCAGGACCCGGCTTCACAAATTCAAACTACGGCACCCATGTCAACATGTGCAAAACACAAAGTTGGAGAAACGGGGCAATAAAGCTGAGACACTGGATGGGGGTCCTAGGAAGCGGGCGGGATGACCAAGGTGGCCCACGGCCAGGGTGCTGACGCTTGCTAAGGCTTTGCAGGTGACCCCCTGCCCACCTCCCTGAGTATGTGGGATGGGGGGGGCAAAGCTTGGGTTATCTTAGCAGGGAAGCTCTGTAAGTTGCTGAGGAGCGCCGACTCTCTTGGGGGTGCATTGTTTGGGTTTCTCTTGGGCACACTCCTGAGAAACTGCACCCACGATTGCCACTTCTTCCTCCCCAGTAAGGTGCGCCTGGGTCAGTTCAGGCACAGGGTACCAGTTCCTGAGGTGGTACTTCCGGCTGCTGGGACCAATCACTGAGAGTCTGTGGTTGGTGGAAGTGATTGACATTGGGATTCACAAAATTTGGGGATTGACTGTCCTCCAATCAAATGCAAAAGCTAGGAGGAAGTGGCGTCATTTCCTCTTCTGTCCACTCCTCCCCAACTCCCCGCGAGTGGGGATGCTGGGCGCTGGACAGGCGTGTCGGAAGAGGGAAGAAAATGACCAAGACTTTGGGACTCCAAAGCACCGCCCTGACACCCCGAACACTCTGGCGCAGGGTCGTGGCCGGGAGGTGCTAGCTAACTAAGGTGCTTCCTGGTTATCCTTTCAGCCTTCACAGTGTCACTTGGCTCTTTTACAACCTGCAGACCTTCTCATCTTAGCTGGGATAAGGGACACGATTTGGGTGCTTCTCAAGTCGCGTCCTGCCTCTCAAAGTATCCCGTGGCCAGGAGGTTTGCAAAAATGAAATTAGGATGCCCATTTCTCTGAATTTCATTTTTGCACATCAAAGACCCTGATAGTCCTACTGTTTTTTTTTAAAATATTGACACCTTGTAATGATTAGAATGAATCAGAAACATTTTCAGCCATTGGAATGCGTTACAGAACAAGTCGTTTGCTGAGTCTGCTTCGGAAAAATCAATTTAGGGTTTGTGAGGAAAAGAAAGCAAACAGAAAGGAGAGGAATGCCCATCCCTGCCTGGTGCCCATTGCACAGAACAAGACAGCTGTGTCCTTCTGCATGGTCACAATTTCCCCTTGGAGCCCTGCTTTCTGATGATACAACAGAATGGTTTCATGAAGAGATCATCAGCAAGACATGATCTAATCATCTTACAGAACAAATCCAGAAGTACATTTTACCTTACTGAAAACACAGTTTTAAAAGTGTGGCTGGTAGAGAGAACCTGCAAATCATGCACCACCCCCATCCCCCACCACCACTGTTTCTAAGATACAACAACAACAACAAAAGAAATGAGATGCTCAGGTACTCATTCGCATTTCAAATCAGAACCAAATTTCTTTCCAGAAACCTTTTTAAACAACTTTCTTAGACTGGAAAGACAGTACTATAGGGGTTATGGTGCTTTTCTTGGATGCAGCTCACAGGAGTTCCATCCCAACACCACTCATGATCCCCAAACACCACCAGGAGTGATCCTAGAGCACAGAGCCAGGAGTAAGACCTGAGCACCACCAGGTGTAATCCCCAAAGAAACAAAACAACAACGACAACAACAAAAAAAAAACAAAGCAAATGTTCTCCCTAAAAATAAAGGATAATCACTTTGATCAAAGGATTTCAGGAAGTAAAGAGACTGGTTACACACTTGGCTTGGACTAGATGAGGAAAAAGGAGGGAGGGAGGGATGGATGGATGGAGAGAGAGAGATTGAGAGAGAGAGAGAGAGAGAGAGAGAGAGAGAAGCAACTAGAAACTGTCTCCTCCCAGAGAGGAGACAGTCCAGGGCGAGGTGGGTCCCAGAACACTGTCCTGGAGGAAACTGAGGTTCCTAAGCACTGAGGGAACGGGGTGCCTCATCAGTATCTGTTCAGTAACAGGACCGCTTACGTGTATATTTTATTGATTTAAGGTGCTCTCTATGGATCTAAATATACTTTAGTTTAAAATCTTAAACTAGGGGCTGGAGATACGGACAATCAGGCAGGGGTCTTGCCCTGCACACAAGGCAGCCTGGGCTCTATTCCCAAATTCCCAAATCTCATATGGTTCCCTGGGCCTCACCAGGAGTGAGACCTTAACATCGAGTGATCAGTGAGCCCTGATCATAGCCAGATCCGAAATCAAAATAACAGACAGAGTGAAACAAAAAACAGTGACGACAAAGGAAGTCCCAGTTTTCCCTGTTAGGGATGGTGTGTGGTGTCCATGGGATTCGAGAACATTTTGAACAGAGTTCGACGGCTCAATCTCTCAAACCTGTTGGAATTGATTTCTCTGAGGGAAATTCCTCCATTATTATTCCTAAACCTCAGCCCTCCCAACAAGGTCCTTGCTTGTCACTGGAAAGCAGCCCCCCCTCCCAACAAACAAGCTCCTGTGTCACCCCCTTGCATACTCCCACACCTGAGACTCATCTTGTTGTTGGTGTTTTTTTTTTTTTGAGACTCATCTTTGATAGAGATTTCAGTATTGCCTTAACTGGGAGGGAGGGAGCCCGGGTTTCTGGAGACGGGTGCAAACGTTCCTCCTTCCCTCTGACCTAGTTCTGGCCGGCGCCCCCATCCAAACAGGAAGAGAAATCTGAACTTGCCATCCATTATTTACTAGGATGAAGCCAGAATTCAGACTGCAGTGAGGAGCAATGAGAGAAGATTTAAGCTCAGCAAAGCTTAAAACATCTCGAAGGCTGTTTCTGGAGGAGTCACAGCTAATGTAGACACGGGTATTAGGAGTGAAGTGGGGAGAGAGAGGAGGTTAACAGAGGCGGCCCTAGTTGGGTGACCACGGGAAAGAAATATGCATCCGAGGGAGCAACCTCACCTCCTGAGCTCGCTTCCATGCACTGGATGCCGCTGCTAGTTCCAAGAAGGATTTAACAAACCCGACGCCAATAGCAATTGTAAAATGGAAATAACTCCACAAATCACTGTCGTCCTGAAACCGGCATCAAGTAAATGCTCTGAAAAGTTACAAGGCGGTGGATAAATGGCGTTGGACTGCTTTCATAGATTATTCTGATTCATTAGATTGCTTGCAGCTCAATCGTTCCCCCAACCCCAAATCAACAGATCTCTCTCTCTCTCACTTTCTCTCTCTCTCTCTCTCTTACACACACACACACACATAACTATACATTACACTGTCCAGGAAAATTTGCTAAGCTTCCATCAGTGATAGTGAACGCAGGCCAACGCCCAGGGCCTCTCTCTCACTTTCTCTCTCTCTCTCTTACACACACACACACACACACACACACACACAACTATACATTACACTGTCCAGGAAAATTTGCTACGCTTCCATCAGTGATAGTGAACGCAGGCCAACGCCCAGGGCTTGAAAGTCACCCACTCAATACATGAACAGCTCAAATAAACAAAACGAAGTGGGGCTGGGCCATCCTGGTATCTGTGAAAATACCATACCAGGACCCAGGAGCTCAGCCACGAGACAAGGAAAGCAGAGGCAGGAAGCTGCCAAGCTCCGCGGTTGGCAGACCGCTCTCTACGCCTCTGGGGCCACGACTCCTAGCAGATCTTCTCCAGCTCAGAGTTTCATTGGCAAGACACAGACAGTCGATGGGGTTGAATGTTCTGTCTCCCATTGACACAAATGGCCATCGCACCACCAGGCAGAAGCAGCACGGAAATTCTCCCAGAAAATGCCCTTGACATATTAAATGCTCGCCCAGCCCCGGGCACAGCAAGGAAGCATTCTGGCCACTCAGCAAACAGCCTGGCCTTCACATTAAGGAGCGAGCCAAATCTCTGCCTGACCTTTGATATTACTTAGATCTCATGTTGTACATAAAAAGAGTCCGATGATGTCAAACAGGTTCCCGAAAAGAAGTATTTATTGCTGAATCTAAATCAAAAAATCCATATCTACTATAATGGCACTTCAAAAGAAGATATACTGTATTTACCAGCTCAATCAATACCAAATTAGCTGGGATAAATATTTTCAACTCTACCAGTCTTAAGATGAAGCCTGCAATTTAGAACCTGGAGTCTTGGGAGGGGCGAGGCAATGTTTTGCTTATCACACCGACAGAAAACCCAGGAAAGAACTTTTTGCAAAGCCAAAGCACCTACCCTGAGCTGTTCTCTTTCACAATTCATCTGTTGCCTTGAAACCTACAAAGAGAAGGAAAAAAAGAAAAGAGAAAAATAATCAGGAGCTTTTGCAGGGGAAAAAAAAAAACAACACCATGAAAGCAAATGGAAAGTTACTTCTAATCACTTAGGTTCACAACAGACACAGAATTAATTAATGATGCATTTAAAGTTTTTTTTTTTTCCTCTTTCCGTCTGAATAGCTTATGCTTCACGTGGAATTGGCAACGTTCTGGAACACACCTCGTCTGAGGCGAGTCTGGAAAGCACGTAAAGAGAGGGGGACGGGAGGAGACAGAGCATCAAACCCTGCCCAGGACCAAGGCTCAGCCCGCGAATGTCCACAAGGCGGTGATTTCCCCAGGGACAGAGGCAGTGGCCACCTAACACTCGGCCAGCGGGTTCTAGATCACAGTGCTCTTCTGGGGAGGTCCGGGGAGGGGGAGGGGGCGGCCAGGGGTGGGGACCACACCCAGCTCAGTGCTGAGAGCAGAGACAGAAATTCTGGTCAGAGCACCGCCTATGTTCTGTTTCTCCTGTCTGGCCACAAAGCGTTTTTTGGAATCAAGGAGGCGTGCGAGAGCGTAGATCCCGTGTTCACAGCCCAGCAGGAAACCCAAAACGCCCCTGTTTGGAGGCAGTGTGGTGGGGAGAAGGGGCGCAGCCGACCTGCTGCCTGTGTCGCCCCCGCTACTCCCGCTATAGTCACCCCTGGGGTGCTCTGCGAGTTTCTGGTCTCCTTTAAGACCCCCGAGTTCCAGCCTCTGGCTGCAAACAATGTCTCTCAGACTCTACAGGATAAGAGAGTTTAGGTGCAGCTTGTGATGTATATTTCATATGTTTTGTTTTTTGATTTATTTTTTGCATTGAAAGTTCCTTTGACTTTTTTTGTCAAACCAAAACAAAACCAGGAGTTGTTATTTCAGCTAAGCCAGAGCCTCTAGACTGACCAGTCCCACCCACCTCTGCCCTGGCTTCCAAGAGCAGCTCTTAAGAAGACAACGACGACGAGCAGAGAGGCTTGACAGAGAGGACGGCGGGCCTGTGGCTGACCCGCGTTGGATCCCCGGCACCCCCGTATGCCCCCCAGCACTGTCAGGAGGAGTCACTGAGCACAGAGCCAGGAGTAACCCCTGAGCATCAGCAGGTGTGGTCCCCAAACAAAAACAGACAGAAGCAGAAAACATGCGCGCACACACACACACACACACACACACACACACACACACACACGAATGCTTCCTTTTACCAATTAACTGTGGCATTATTTTAAAATACACTAATGGGAAGAGAAAAACTGAATTTCACGGTGCTGATCAGGAAATATTAAGGGCTGGACCCAACGCAGGGTTTGCAAAACACAAGGGCAGAGAAAGCTCAAAAGCCCCCTCTGAGGGTTGGGGAGACAGCTCAGGGGCAAGACCTGGCTGACCCCAGTTCAAGGACCTGGAAGACACAACCATCTGTGTCCAGCTGCAAGGCCCAGGAATGGCCATCAGCCCTGTCCCAGGGAGCTGACAGAGACCTTTGCCACGATGGCCTCCCTGGCCCTACAGACCATAGACTCATAAGAAACGTAGCGGAGAGGACCTGGGAGGGAGGCATAAAACAAAGCAAGCTGGACCAACTTTTTTGAGATACGATTCAACTTTGATTTAAGATGCCACACATAGGGGCTGGAGCGGGGAGGGCGTTTGCCTTTCATGGGGCCAACCCGGGTTCAATCCCCGGCATCCCATATGGTCCCCCGAGCACCACCAGAAGCAATTCCTGAGTGCAGAGCCAGGAGGAACCCCTGAGCATCGCTGGGTGTGACCCAAAAAGCAAATAAATAAATAAATAATAAAATGCCATGCATATATCTCTGGCCACACACACACACACACACACACACACACACACACACACATACACATGCATGGGAAATTCCAGAGCAATAAACAATGGGTGCGAACAACTGTCACTGTCACTGTCCTCCCGTTGTTCATCGATTTGCTCGAGCGGGCCCAGTAACGTCCCCATTGGAGACTTTGTTGTTCCTGTGTCTGGCATATCGAATACGTCACGGGGAGCTTGCCAGGCTCTGCCGTGCGGGCGAGATACTCTCGGTAGCTTGCCGGGCTCTCCAAGAGGGGCGGAGGAATCAAACTCGGGTCGGTCATGTTGGCTGCGTGCAAGGCAAACGCCCTACCGCTGTGCTATCACTCCAGCCCAGGTGCGAACAAACACACAGGAAAACAGTTCTGGGAAGAAGATGCTACTGAAGACAGGAGAAGCTTAGACAGCTTTGCTCCTAACTGGGTTCAGACCCAAGACTCACACCACACACAACCAGAATGTGAGTTTCCTTCACAGAGCCACATCTACAGTCATGCCCACGACATGGTGACAGCTGAGTTAGGGGCTGAGAGAGCACAGACAGGATACAAGAGCCCCCTCCCACACACACACACACACCCAGGAGTGGTCTCTGAGCACAGACACAAAAGTAAGCCCTGAGCACTGCAGGCTGGGTTCCCAAGCCAATGAATCATACTGGAGCTGTAAGGAGCTGTCCTCCCGTTGTTCATCGATTTGCTCGAGCGGGTCCAGTAACGTCTCCATTGTGAGACTTCTTGTTACTGTGTTTGGCATATTGAATTCGCTTGGTAGCTTGCCAGGCTCTCTGAGAGGGGCGGAGGAATCGAAACTGGCTCAGCCAAGTTGGCTGCGCGCAAGGCAGACGCCCTACCGCTGTGCTATCGCTCCAGCCCATGAATCATACTAGTAAAAGGAAAAACTGAATTATAGCATCACCACAATGGTTGGATGATACCCAGAGAAGAAACCGAGGCCCAGCTTGGCATGTGGGAGGTGAAAGATTGATTCACAGTGGCTCACAGTGACCCTCAGTGTCCCGCAGAGCCCAGAAGGTAGGACCGGGGTCGCTGCCCGGGGTAAGGCAGACTCCGGTTCTACTGGGCCTTGACTTCTTTTGTGGTGGGTTCTTTTTCTGGCCAAGTGAAAATGAGATGACGGGAGAGGCAAATCAGTCCGCCCTCTGCAGGGCTCCTCGCGGAGAATCTGCAGAGATCTCTGCATGGGGAAAGCGTCACAGATCTGGAAGGAGGGTGACGCGGTGGCAGCCCACCCGTTGCCGTTCCTACAGGAATGTCCCACTGCCCCGCCCCGCCCCGCCCCCGCCCCCACTGTGATCGTTGCTCCCTTGGTGTTGGGGAAGAGTTTTTCCCCAATGTGCCCAGACACTTTGCACACCGGGTCCGGGCAGACAAGGGGCAAAGGATGACGGATGCGTGGAGAAACCACTCCATGAGACAGCTGATGGCCACTCACTCTACTGCCAGACACACACGTATTTTATAGGGGGTCTCGGCTTAAGAGGATGGTCCGATCACATAAAGTTTAACATTACCGACCCATCACCTTTCCAACTCTGCCTTGCCCCAGCCCAATCCCATTTAGGACTAGATACTGCAGTGATGTGACAATCCTTGGGGGCTTGGGTGAGACTCAAGGCCGGATACCTGGTGCTTGTAAAATGCGCCCAGACACTCCCTACTGGGTCCCAACACAGGGACAGGTCTTATCTGCCATGCAGGGACAGATCTATCTGCTCTGGTGTCTGTTGCCGAGGCTCTAGACCTTGGAAGCAGGAAGTACGAAGGACTCGAGACAGCACGAGAGGAGAAGGCCATGGAGAGAATTTAAACAGGAGCCCAAGAGAGAGCCCAGTGGGCAGGGCGCTTGCTGGTCACACGGGGAATCTGGGCTTGAGAGCCAGAATCAGCATCCCCCGAACCTCCCCAGGACCCCTGGATGCAGAGTCAGCCCTGAGCACCGCTAAGTGTACCTGCGCCCAGATAAACGGAAACAAGACTTCACAGCCGTGGATCCGTCCTCCCAGGAGGAGCGAGGCGGCTTCTGACTCCAGGGTAAGTGGCGGCTGGAAGGGGGGGCGGGCGCCTCCTCTCTCCCCAGGTCCCCAACTCCCATCGGAGCCTTGGGAGAGCCAGACCCCGCGGCTGCTGCTGAGAGTGACTGGGAGGAGGTTGTGGGGATGCAGAAGCCACGGGGAGAAGGAATCTAGCCCAGGAGACCAAAGCCCAGGCTCACAGGAAGTCTCACTCGCGGACTCTGCTCAGGCTTACCCAGCGAGGAGCGTCACCCGTGGGCAGACACGACACCCGCACACACCGCATCTGAGTTGTGTTTCCCGCGGCACCGAGGTGCCCAGCGTGGGGCGTCCAGCTGGCCAGCGACCTTGTGTCCTGCACATGCTCCCACCACATCTGATGCCCCCAGAGGACATGGCACCTGCCCGGGATCTGAGTCACGCATGAGATTCCGTGGCCTCAGGCTCTGATTAAAGGGGACCACGGAGGGGTGGGCAGAGGCCAGACTGTCCAGGGGGCCGCAGGGGGCCCCAGACAGCAGGTGTGAGGAGTCTGGCATGTGCTCTCCCGCACACCCACTTTTTTTTTTGCTTTTTGGGTAACACCTGGCGATGCACAGGGGTTACTCCTGGCTCTGCACTCCTGGCGGTGCTTGGGGGCCCCTATGAGATGCTGGGAATCGAACCCGGGTCAGCCACATGCAAGACAAATGCCTTCCCCGCTGTGCTTTCATTCTAGTCCCCAACCGCTTCTTAAATGCGCTGTTGGCAGGAGCACAAATCCCTGGGGTGTGGGCTGGTGTATTCCTGCGGGGGGAGAGACAGAGGCAGCAGAGAGCGGAGGCGAGGGCCAGGCAGCCCGGCCCCCTCACCTCCTGGCCCCTTCCAGCCCCCCAGAACCTGGGCCCCCAGAACCGCCTTTGCCAGCCGAAGCCCAGGCCTCCCCTCTGAGACCCCCTCAAGGTGGGGGTTGGGGGGGTGGGACGCGTCTATTATTTATTCTAATAATAAACCGTTGCCCCGGGCACATTTTTATTCTCCAGATTTAATAAGGTATTTTGTGAACCGAGGCCGTGGAGGGAGAAAACAATCGTGGTTATTAGGAGGGTGATTTCTGTTTGTCTCTGCC